CCCCCCCCCCCCCGCCGCAGCCGGCTCCGCGCTACCTAGAAGGGTCGCCACGGGCTGGGACCCCGCGCGTCTTACGGCGCCTTTGGGGTGCGAGCGAATCAATAGTGCAGCGTCCGGCGCTTCCTGCTGTCCTGGGCTAATGCAAACAGCCCCTCTGCGCCCCAGGCTCCTCTGGAGTCTCCTGCCGGCCGGCTGGGAGGGGCAGGCCCCCCCGCCGCAGCCGGCTCCGCGCTACCTAGAAGGGTCGCCACGGGCTGGGACCCCGCGCGTCTTACGGCGCCTTTGGGGTGCGAGCGAATCAATAGTGCAGCGTCCGGCGCTTCCTGCTGTCCTGGGCTAATGCAAACAGCCCCTCTGCGCCCCAGGCTCCTCTGGAGTCTCCTGCCGGCCGGCTGGGAGGGGCAGGTCAGCCTTGAAATAGACACGCTTATCTAGCCTCCGGGTGTGCTCTGTAAAGACAATCCCCGCAGATCCCTGCACGCTCCCCCACCCCGAGCCGGGCTCGCTTGGGGTAGCTGAGCTGCCACAGCCCGGAGGGAGCCGTGGTACCTGCGAGCCTCCAGCCATGATCAGTGCTTTCCCTCCATGACCTCCCCCCAGCCTCTCTCGCAGATGCCGGGCTGGGATTTTGCTGCACGTCTGGTGGGCGCCGAGTCCAATTTGCGGGGAATGATGCTGTAGGCGGAGATGACAGGCAGAGCTAATTGGGCTTTTGCAAGTCTGGTGTTTGCCTAGGGAGATAAATATAATAGCGCCCTAATCTCGAGTGTTGCGAGTGGAAATGCCTTTCTGTCTGCTCGGCGGCATCTGAGCGGGCAGGGCAGGGCGGGGGAGGCAGTGTCACTCCTGGGAAGAGCTGTTCGCAGAAATCAAAGGGCTGCAGCGTTGTGCAAGACGGTAATTAATTAAGGGCTGTGTCGTTTCAAGACGGGGCGAGAGAAGGGGGGAAGCGAGAAGAGGGAGAAAGAGGCTTGATCAAACCAAAGATCAGAAGACTGGCTAAATAGCACCGCTGGGCCAGATGTGCCCCCGAGATCAGTGCTGAGGCTGTGCTAGCACCGCGGTTTGTCGCCTAAAGAGCTTGTCCGTTTCCATGCCCCGGAGGAGCCTGTATAAAGAGAGATCGACGAGGACTAATCGCCCCCCTCACCTGCTCTGGCGGCTGCTCGCCCTCCGCTGCGGTCTCTGTTCAGCTGGAGCGGTGAGTTCTCTTGCTCTGCACAGGTCTCCGGCCTGGGGTGGGTCACTTCGCTGGCCGGCTAGAGGCTGCAGTGGGATAAGAGCCTGGAGCTGCCAGGGAGTCCATATAGAGGGAGTCTCGGGTCTTGATTACAAATTGCAGCAGCGCCGAGCTGTCTCCCATTTAAATGTCTGCCAGCTGAGATCTGCTCTCCAAGCCCCTCCAGATCATTGGCCAAGCGCCTCCAAAGAGCGTATTATCCGCCCCCTTTAACACTTCCATAAACTTCCACCAGGGAAAGCTTTCAGCCATCTCCAGATAAACACTCGGCTACTTTCCTTTCAGCAGACTCGGTGCTAAAGGTCACCCCCCAGGAATTGTTCTTGGAATGCACAGAAAATCAGATTTTCCGCCCCCATTAAGGCCCGATATGTAAGAAGAGTTAAATATTAAATCCTCCCTCTTCCATTCATCCGGCAGTACCTGCCTGAGAAGCGGTTTGCCCACACCACCTCTTCTCCGTTCGCACATGCAGAGGTCTGTCAGCTAAAGCTGGTAGTCTCTAACCTGGGTAGGAGGGGAGAGAGAGGGTCTCCGCGTTGCAATAACGTGACATTTCTGAGGTTTGTCCGCAGCAAATATGCCCGGAGATATATAGCTTTGGTAAAAGGACTGGTAAGGGGGGCGATTAAAGCATGCGAATCGCGATGCAGTATCCAAGCTAATAGAGCTTTATCAGTGAATGATTTTATTCCTGGAGACGTGACACCGCCTTATCTTTCCACTGTCCGGGGTGCGGATGGGTGTCTCTGAATATCGAGGTAGCTTTCAGCGGCAGAAGTTTGTTCCCGCAGTTTTGCTCGGGAACAAAGAAAGAAAGTGCCCAGCATCTCTAGGTTATAATGAAACTAAGTGTTAATAAAACTAGCGCGGAGAGCCCAAACATTCCCTTTTACAACCACATTTCGGGGAGGGAACATTTGCCGTGAGCAAAACGTTGCATGTAAAAGTCAAAACAGTGTATTCTCTGGTCATGCCGAAGTCCCAAGAGAAGGGTTATTTTGTAAATAATCAAAAGATAGACAAAATCCCCCTCTCTCTCCAATAATATTGTACTTACTGACGGTTCAAAGTAAACGCCAAGTGCCTAAATTTAGCCCTGACATTACAGGCAAAAATCGACGGGAGTTTTATCTAATGAGTTAGGGAACAAGCTCTTTGTACACGCTTTTTTTTAAAAAAAAATCCACACGTTAAAAGAGCCCCACTCGGCTTCCGAGCAACTTGACCGAAGCTTTTCAGCATAAGTCTATCAGCCTCATGTTTGTTCTCACTGAAGATATAGTTGGGGCTAAATATATAGCCAGACTCGCCTTTTCGATCCACACAACGAAAAATGTGTGTATGGTTAAAACGGTGAGACAGAGAGGGACTGGGGACTGTTTATTAAGTCAAAATCGGCAAATATCTGTAGCCTTCCTAGGGTACCTAGGTAATCGGGATAGCTAAGCGCGGGTTTTCACTACTTGTTTCTTTTCTTCCCTGGACATTTTATACCGAGGATTCTACCACAACAGAGAACATTGGGAACAGGAGTAATCATCCAAATACCTTCTGATCCACTAATTAAAGGGATAGGTATTTGGCTCAATCACTGCTCCCAGCGAACGGGCTTAACGGGGCCAAAACTATAACCTCCAACTCTTTGCTCACGAACTCTTTTCACTGGGACTCGAGAGTAACTATAAACTCATTGACACGAGCTCAAGAGGCATGCTCCGAAGTCCACGGACCGACGTCTTGTGCCTTCAGTGGGGTATGGATCAGTCCCACAATAGTGGACGCTTCTCTCTCGCTGCATTTTTACACGCTCCCGCTCCCGCTCTTAAAATAATTGTATTCATTTAGGAAATGTCAGAATTAAGGGTGGTTGTTGTTGTAGAGGGATAGAAACTCAGTTTTCCGGGGCAGCTATAACTTAACCACGAGCCAACTCCATTGTTCCCTGCCTTCATTCACTACTAGCCACCGTTCACCTTCTGTAACAATATGAGGTAAGGTCCCATAGACACAACTTGATTTATCCCTACTGCAGCTCCATGCTTTGCCCTGAATGAGGCAAGGGGAAGGGAGAGGGCGGAGGTGAAACAGTATATGACCATGTGATTAAATAAGGTAGCTCAATGCCTGCACACAAGGGGGCTGATGTAAGATTTCATTGGAAATTTGAATTCCAGGATTTCCTAACTTCTGGGTGCATGATTCTGCAGCCTTAATAATGTTCTTAGAGAGAGAGAGAGAGAGAGAGAGAGAGAGAGAGAGAGAGAGTTTGTGTGTAATTTCCTATTTTTTAAAAAGCAATTTGAATCCTCCCCACCCACCCCCCAAGTGATTCTATCGTGTTGTCACCCACTTGGTTCATCAGCAGTGTGGGTTCACTCAGATCTACTGCCCAGAGCACTGCCCCTTGAGCTAATCAAGTAACTGATAGCAATAGTAGGTTGTTATCCTCTCTGTAAGCCAGTGCTAGGGGGAGTGGGCAGTTTGGGTTCACAGCTATTTGCTGACAGCAGAGGAGTGATGAGTGTTGGGCTCCATTCCAAGCTCTGGAGAGGAGTGTGCTCTATGGACTCTTCTGCCTGTTAACCCCAAGCTTGATCCCTTTTGTACTCTGCACCCTTGCCAATTTTCCATTCCTGCCTCTTCCTCTCCCCTCTGTTCCTTGTCCTAGACCCAATCTCTATCTACCTAGTTCCATTCCCCAATCCTCAGGCTTCTGATCACACTCCCAGTTTCCTTGCCATGCCAGTTCTAGTTTCCTCTCACAGGTTCATTGTCCAAAACTTAGTATCAATCTACCCTTCCCCCCATACATGTTCCTAATCTCTCCCTGCGCCTCACTCTTGATTTCCTTGTCCAACCAGTGCAGACATCATTCCTCTGCCATCCCTCACCCTGGTTCCTTGTCCAAGCCTCCCAACACCATGGCTTTGTGTGTCCCAGTCTCTTTACTCAGCCAGTCTCCATCCTGTACCGCAGCTCCTTGTCAGATCTGTCTCCCCTGACACCTCTGCTCTCCTCACACTGATTCCTAGTTCCAGTTTCCTTATCCAGCCAGTCCATGGCTCCTGCCCTTCCCCAATTACATGTCTGATTTCAATGTTCCGTGTTCCACCCTGTTTCCTTTACTGGCTCCCAGCCCCAGTCTCCTTGCCAAACAGTTCCAGCCACTCCTCACGCCCCGCTCCCAGTTTCCCTGCCCGAAGAGTTCTAACCTACCTTCCCTCCAACCAGCTTCCAGTCCCAGCCTCACCTCCCATCTCTTTCCTTCCAATCTTCCTGCCAGGCCTAATTTTTTATAGAACCAGCCATCTGCTCCCAATTTACTCCTTTTCTCTCTCTCCTGGTCCAGCTTTTATCCTCTCTTCATTTGAATAAGGTGGTTTCTTCCTCTAAGCTGCCTCTGTGACAGTAGGTGAGTCACAGAGAGCAGAGGTGAGACAGGCTCCCTTCTCGCAGTTCCAGTGACTAGACCCACGCCAGACTGGACTAGCTCATAGCGACCATTACAAGGAAAATCCTGCTTTGCTTTGCAGCGCTAGGCTGGAGCATACATGCTTAGTTGATCTGTGGACATAACACATACCCAGTCTGGTCAGCACTAGGAGCTGTGAGAGGCTAGAGTATTCTCAGTCACTCTGTGGGGATGGCACATGTGCAGTCCGATCGCACGTAAGAGCTAGGAGGGAATGGAGCATCCTCAATTGCTCATTGGGGATGGCACATGCAGGCTGGTAAGAAATTGTACAAAGCTTGCTGAAGTAGGGGGGACAAAAGGGGACACTTGCACAGGGGCCCAGCATTTCAAAGGGGCTTTGCACTCCCAGCCATCACTGCTACTGCAGCTACAGTGGCAGCTAGAGCCCCAGGCCCCTTTGAATTGCAGTGGAAGCACTGCTCTGCTGCTCTGTGGGGCTCTGAGGGTTGTGGGGGTGGGCCCAGAGCCATGCTCTGGGCGGTGCTAAGGACTGACTGCCCTTGGCCCTGCCTCTTCTACCTGAAGTTCCTTCCCTTCCAGGACATGGAGCCAGCCTCTCACATCTTGCCTCTGGGTCCATGGTGGCTGCTGGCCCCACTGGCATTAAGAGCTATCAGAGATTTGAGCATGCTCAGTGACAATGGACTCTGGAGATTTTAAAGGCTAATATTGAAGAAGGCTATATTGATCATGTGTGACTTGCATTTTTTTTAGCTTTGCGAGATCTGGAGAAATTTTGGGGGATAGCAGAAGGCATGCCCCTAACACAAATGCTGCCACAGTCAAATTCAAGTCTTGCTTTAAACTATCAGGATGTTCAAGGTGTTCAAAGAAAAGCTTACTAGTATTTATTAACATTGGTAAAACACTGTGGATTTTTTTCCTTAGTTTTGCTCTTCAAGAGGGCTGAACTGTTTTGGATGAAATTGTACAAAGCATTTCCCCTGAGGCAGATACCCAGCATGTACAATTTTGGCAGATTCAAACACTTGATTATATCATAAGCACCAGTGTCCAAGTAGCATGCTCAAACACACGAATATCTTGCAAAACCCAACAGTTAAGGCATTTTTTACACCATTAACTGTACAGTGTGGCGTGCATTTATCAATAAAACAAATATAATATTTGGAGGGAGGTCCTGCAGTTTCAGATACTGATGTATCTATTCAGTATGCCAACATCTGTGAAAGTGCATATGAAAAGTACAACTACAGCTAACTAATTAGAAAGCATCCCACATACTAAATAGAGATGCCAGAGGGATAGAGAAAATTTGCTAGCACACATTGGCCACCTAAGTTCATAGCTAAATTATTATTGGGAAAGTTGAGCCTTTTAGAGGAGAGCTAGCAGAGATAAACAGGCCTGGACATTTTTAGAGCATTTTACAGCTTTTCCTTTTCTCTTTTGAACAGAAAAAAACCCCATACTGTGTGGCTTTGTGTGTGGGTTTAAAAATAGCCAGGGTCCTTTCCTTAATGAAAAGCGAGAGAGAGAGAGGTAAGGATACAGACCATATCTATTAGTGGTTTAACAGACTTTACATTCAATTGTTTTTCTTGTCATGAAAAATTGTGACATGAAGTAATTATGTTTATATTTCTAACATTGTCTCTGTCTCAGTTAATGAATTGTCTCGGTGCCAGGCCTCTGGCCAGAAGCTTTGAGGAGAAGCTTGCAAAATGTCCCACTTCGCCTATGCAACAATAATTGATGTGTCTTCCAGTTCACAGGTGAAATGCCACCCATCAGCTGACACCACTAGTGCCTAAGGAAGCTTTTAGATTCTTCTCCTTCACTACTGCCTGTAACTACTGCCTCCTTCCATGGCTGATGCTGGCACTGCAGCTGCTTGCAAGGCTTCTGCAGATTGCTGACTCTCCTTCTTCTGACCTCTAACTACTAGCCTTGGTAGGCGGTCAGTGGAGGCTGCTGGTGGCTTTCTCTGATCCTTGGGATGGAGCCCATATGGCTAGATAATA